CCGGTATATGAACTCCAGAGAATAATCAGGTGAATAATTTCAGAAATTAATCAATGCAGAACTTGGAGTTAAATCTCCGGGACATGTTAGGGGCGCTCACCGTTCGTTCATACGGAACTCACTCGTTCCGTTGTGCCTTTTGGACTCACTCTAGAGCCCAACCAGCAGCCGCACAGCGGCGCATGATATATAGGCAATACCATTCTGCCTATATATCATGCGCCGCTGTGCGGCTGCTGGTTGGGCTCTAGAGAGAGTCCATAAGGCACAACGGAACGAGTGAGTTCCGTATGAACGATCGGTGAGCGCCCCCTAACATTGTATATTCCCGATCGAAAACCGAAAAGGCAACGGGCTCGTGGCCCGGTGAGTAGAGGCGTTGACTTCTAAACCAACAGGTCGCGAGTTCGAGGCTCGGGTGTTCCACACTTCGGGCTTGGGTATGGCTGGCTGACGACGGCTAATAAGCCAGAAATGGCCATTCCAGTCTCCCTTGTCTTTGTCGGCAATACCATTCTGCCTATATATATATATATATATATATATATATATATATATATATAGGTAGATCAGAGGTGTTATGCATTCCGAGTCGATATAATGAAAACAGGAAGAGGTTCTTCGGAAAAATCGAGTTGTGCTCGTGAATTTTCGAGCTGGTGACACCAACCCGTCGTCAGACGAAATGAAAACAGGGGAGAAAGTTTGTTTGTCACACTGGACTAATTAGCGCGACAGGGCAGACAGACTATCGGCCTATGAGTGGGATGATCACAAAGTCATGGTTGGTATCTGAGCGAGGGGGATAGTGGAACAATTATGGATGCCTGTGCTGGAGGGGGAGGGTGTAATGGTGGATCAATTGGAATCCGGGTGGCTAAATTGGCGGCCGTTGCTGTGGCATTAGGGCGGGGGCGTAAGTCGTGAGCGTAGGCCCTCATAATGGGCGTCCAGGTCAACATGGCGGTTGATACTACCAGCATCGGAGTACCAAGCCTCGAGAAATTCTCTCGCCCGTTTTGTGTTAGCCATGGCGACGACCTCAGTGCCATCCCAATTGAATCGGTGGTGGCACTCGAGTGCGTGAGCAAAGACGAGGGACAAAGGGTCTCGCCGACGGACAACCAGTTTGTGTTCATTAATACGGGTGCCCAGGCTTTCACCTGTATGACCAACATACACGCAAGAGCAATCTGAGCACGGGATGCGATAAATTACGTTTGTTTGTTGCTCTTTGGGGAGGGGATCCTTGATTCGAGATAGCGCCGAGCGTAGTGATGATGCTGGTTTGTGGGCGATGCGAATACCAGAGCGATTTAACTGCCGGGCGATTACTTCGGACGCTCCTTTCATATAAGGCAGGGAGAAGAATTGTCGAGACACAGTTTCCCCGTTGGGGGTGGGAGCCTGCGGTTGTGCCTGGTGTCTGAGGCAGTTCTTTACGAAACTTGTCGGATATCCGTTGGATCGAAACAACCGATACAAGTAGGCAAGCTCTTTCTTAAGGAGATCGGCGCTGTTGCAATAACGATAGGCCCGGTGGAACAGAGTTCGAACGCAGCTCCTTTTGTGAGCTGCGGGGTGGTTGCTTCCATAATTGAGGATAATTTCGGAATTAGATCCTTTCCTATGGACGCTCGTCGCGAGACTACCATCGCTCAGCCTTTGTATTTTCACATCAAGAAACGGCAGGCTGTCCCCTATTGCCTCTTCACGAGTAAACTGTATGGCCGGGAAGACGTCATTCAGCCTCTGATGTAGCCGTTCAACTTCGCAGTTCTTTATCACGACAAAGGTATCGTCTACATAGCGAAGCCACACTTTGGGACTGAGATCTTGGAAAACCTCCTTTTCTAGTCGCTGCAATGCAAGTTCTGCGAGCGGTCCAGATATTGGCGAGCCCATTGGGGTTCCCTTTACCTGTTGGTAGAACTTATTATCGAATTGACAGTAGTGTCTAAGGCAGAGTTTGAGGAGTTCTATAATATGCTGAGTTGGAATCTCAATAGGATTCTCCTGTAAGCGTTGGGCTACGCAGTCAATTGCCAAATCGTGTGGTATGGAAGAAAATAAGGCAACGACGTCAAAGGACAGTAGGCATTCATCGGCACTTACTTCGAGTCCTTGGATCCTTTGGAGGAACGCGAGAGAATTGTTGATGCTGTAGTCAGATCCATGGGTTAACTGCTTCAGATGCTTGTACAACCACTTAGCTATAGTGTACGTAGGTGATCCGATGAGTGGTACAATAATCCTCAGTGGGGCGTCCACTTTATGCAATTTTGGGAGACCATACGCGCGTGCGATATGGGGATCACTGAGGGTCATCAGCTTGGAATCATCTGGACTTATAACTTTCAGACGAGTGAGCTCATTAACCTTTTTCTTGATGGCAGCGGCTTGCTTTTTCGTCGGGTCTTCGGCAAGAAGAGTGTAGGACGCTACGTCACCGAAGATTCCATTCGCCTTGTTGACGTATTCAATTCTGTCCATGACGACAGTAGCGCCACCCTTGTCAGCGGGAACAACAACAATATTGTGGTCCGATCTCAGTGATTGTAATCCTTGTGCTTCATCGGCCGGTAGGGTTTGTTGGTGTCTTTTCTGTCGAAGGATACCAGTGGCACAGCTGCGTATGTCTGCGCGCCTGTCTTCTGGAAGGGATGAGGCCAGTAGAACTGACTCGAGGCCAGCAAGGAAGTTGGTAGGCGTGGCATTCGTATGATTAAATCCTATTCCCTTTAAATGTATATGGTTGTTCTGCCATCCACAAAATCCGAAAACTTGATATGTCAGTAGTTATGCATTTTACATCTAACTGTTTGTCAGCTGAATATTACGTGTTTTTACGGATAATTTCAGTCTCTCTGATCATTAATTCATCTTAAGCAGCGACATCGAAAAGACATGGTCCACTTCTTAGTCCAGCTGCCGGCTATTGGAACAGCAGGTGGGAAAGCTAGCTGCGAAACATGTAGGCTCTTCGGTCTGGCTGATAGATAGTCTCCGACCGCGACGATCGCACACCCAGGCGTGGCAGAATACCCATCTGAACATCACTTACCTATAAAAGGTTCACGCGCCATGACTATTGTTGCTGCAAGCCAATATGGCTCCACAGTCTTATGGACAACAAGTACAGACACCGACCAAACCGGACCGGGTACCTAGCCCACTGCACATCTAGTGGGCGGCTCTGAGCATTCATGACTTACGCGATGAACTATCGGACCAGCTGAACCGGCACCGGTCAGGCGGTCAGAGATGGGGATATCAGCCTGCTATGAAACAGTACACTTGTGCACTGTGAATTCTTCAGCTTCTTCTGTCATCGATAGTGCACGGATGGTCTGTGCTGACTAGCTCGCCGGAGAGCTTGACACCAAACATCCTTCTTCAGGCCGCGACAAGAAGCAGCAATAACTTCGACAATAAGAGGCAGAGCCGTCATCTCGGAGGGTACATGTTCACACGCTGAGCATATCGCCACCGGGAGCGCAGTCCGCCCCTCGATGCAGTAGAAGCTCCTTATTGGCCGCAGGGTTAGTCATTCTGCTACGACCTCCGATACTCCTCAGTAAGTCAGTTTGTATTACTTCGATAGCACATCCGCATGTTGTTAAATTACGAGCCTAACAGACATAAAGGTAGCTTATTGGCATAGGTGCGGCCAGAAACCACATAAGTGTCTGAAAGTGATCCCATTACTGCCCAAGTAACGTGGACGGGAAGCAGTCCGTCCCGCACAGGACAATCCTTCAAATGGGCATTTATGACAGCAACAGTAACGACCGATTTAGAGGTTGACGGGGACCGACTGACTTAGGCAAATCCTTCTCCGCGCGAAAATCAGATGCCTCCTATTAGTGTTTCTCTGTCGCAGCGCGCCGGATAGCTCGTCCACCACGTGCAAAGAGGACCACTACCGCCCCCCAGATAGTGCGCCGTAGGGACCGTCGTATGAAGATGTTTGCAGTTAAATCGACTTACACAAGCTCTACCATGGTACCTTCTCAAACATACCAGGTTCCCGTACGAATAGAGCCAAGACTATTGGAGATGTGTGGGGGTGAACAAAGACGAACTTTGCTTTCTCGCACGAAAGGTGCTCTAAGGGTCTCATTAATGTCCGAAAAACGAATTATATCGTCATCTGGCAAAATTATGGGACAGAGATTCGCGCACCAAAGCTACTGTAGTAAGCTGGACAAAGAAATTGGACGGGGAAGGCCCCCTAATTAGTGGGCGCCCTCTCTCATCCCTCTCCTGCGCGCCAATGACTCACTGAAGCCTACCGACCGGCGAGTGATACTATACGCAGTAGCTGACGTCTCAGTCTAACGAGTG